GAAGCCATCTCCTTGGCAATGTGTGGGCCCCTTCTCCCTTCCCCCTATGAAATCAGACAACCCCAAGACAGAAAATTGCTCACTTGAAAGAGCAATATCCAAATGCTTTCATCACTCAAACGTCCTTTTGAAAACATTGTCGACGACGGTTATTACCTGGACAATGCTGTCAATTTCTGTAGTCTGCAGAAAATCTTCCTGCAGCTAGAAAAGTGGGACATTGGGCACCTACCTCAAAATAATAAACCAATTTCCCTGCCGCCCGATATATTTTTCGCCCAGACAACACTTTCATTAAGGAAGAGATCGCCGTCGACAATTCAAAGCCAAATAGAAATCAACTTTGCACAAAGAGGAGCCGGAAGTTAATGGCTTTCTGGGAAAATATGGGCTGAGAAAGTTGGAGCAATTCTGGTTCAATCCTTCTAATACTGAAGGCAGTTCCCCTAAAGCTATCACTAGCAGGCCCCAGACCATGATAATCCTCCTGGAAGTGAGGCAAAAGGGTGAGCCACCTCAGGGCTTCCCACACACCCAGGGAGCTGCTTTCCTGGTCAGTGGAGAGTTAAGCATTTCAGGAAAATGCAACTTCTCCCACAGAAACCTGGACTGAGGAAATATCATGTCCTGCTGCTGCAGCATGGGCTCCTTCTAAAATCTAGGTGTAATCCTATAGTCAAAAGGCTGATATGGGGTAGAAGTTTCAGGAAATGCAGTGGGGTGACTTCCAAGTATGGCTTCCAACAACTGGCCTTACTAGAGAACACTGAATAGCCTCAGCTAGTTAAGGTGTCATCAGATATAAGCTCAAATTGATTCAAGTTTTCAGTGGGCAGTTGGCTTAATTTTCAAAGGATGGGAAGTACAAATACCTAATCAGAGGAAAGACATTAGTGGTCTCTCTCCTGCTGCTTCCTCCCTCCCACCCCACCCCACACACCCCTTCCCCCAGCTTCCACATTTCTTAATAGCCACCTTCATAAGGAGTGAATTCATGGAAGGGTCTGGCTTCAAACAGTACAGAGTTACCATTCCATGAAATTACCAATCACTGTTTAATCTCTATTAAACAATTGGTGTGTTAATTCACATTTTAAGGACACCCTAAATTCCTAAATTTGAGGGAATAGATTATTCAAAATGTTTTTTAAGCCTAGCGGTTAGAAAGAAGTATCCATTCTTGCCCACACTGGTTAAAAACAGCAACCAGATGATCATCCATTTTAATTCCTCACAGAACTGGCAAGTGGGGCCTAAGTTGGAGAGTAAGCATCTCCTCTCATTAGAATAGTACTGTGGAGGTGACTGATCACAGTCCAATCATTCAAACCCTGTTCAGAGTCTCTGGACTCAATTTCTGAGTAACTTTTTTGTTGACCTGCCCAGGGAGCACTCATTAGAATTCATTCTTGACCCTGAAAATTGCCACAAGTGAACCCCCAAACAGAGCATCTCTGCTTTCTGCTGGGAGGGGCTCTCCCTGTGTGCCCTGGCCTATCCTGCAGCTTGACCCACTGGGAATAACTCAATCTAGGACACCCAGTCCTCACAGCCAGAAACCACAGTTGCCTAGTTCACCCAGGGTGCACTTCAATTCAGTTAAAATGCTCCAGTCCTGCCACCCCATTAAGTCATACTGAGATATTCTGGAATTAGTCCAGGACTGACAGGTGAATAAAAATTGCAGGACTTTTTTTTTTTAGAAGTATTTTTATGCCATAGGTGTCTCTCCTGCTGAACTCAGACTTTTAAATCTGCAAAACACAGCATTCAATAAACAGAAGACTTCCTTCACTTTATTTTTTAAAAAAATAACTTCCCACTTCCCAGCATTTATTATTGGAGTTAGCCTTGTGGTAATTTTTTTTAAAATTCGAATATACTTTAGTGGGTAACTTCGCAGACTCTGTTCTAATTAACTCCCCACTGTAATACTAAAATAAGCTTCTAATTTGAAATAGGACAGACCCATCTCTCAATAAGCACAAAAAGACACAAAATCCTCAACTTAGAACAGGCACTCAAAGAACCCTGGGCCAAGAAACATACCTTGAGAACATTCACCCACACACAGGCAAACAATTGTGCCTTAAACATGGAGCCTGATCTGCTGAATACAGTTGTTTTTCATAATAAGTTCCTCCCAAATTTGGGAGTATTTTCTGTATTTCTCCATAAACAGAAGACTAAATATTTTTTATAGGGGATATCTAAACAAATCTTGCTCCCTGGACATGATGTGGTGATTACTCCCTGGGAAACATGACTGGGATTCCAAGAGCTTAAAGAAAAAGGTGTACTGGGGTATCAGCTAGGAGGCAATGCATAAATAGAGTATCCCTGTCACAAAGTTGTGATGTGAGCTTGTAAAGGCATAAATTTACTCCTTGAACTCCTCCCTGGCTTATTTCAATTCAAGGGCAGGGGGTGGGAGGGACACAAAATTAAATAACTACCTTTTTGGAACACAACTTGAATTAGCTCCTGTCAATCTGCATGCACCTAGTACAGTTGCTTGCAAAGGTCTGGATGTTCCGGAGTACAGCCACCCATAAATGCTAAGTTCAGTTACTGTTTCTGGTGTTTAGTAAAATAGGTGGGGAAAGAAGCTCTGGCCAATTCTTGGTCTGTCACATTGCCCTGGAGCTTTAATTAAGGCTCTTCACTTCCTTAGTTGCCTAAAACCAAACTCTCCTGACTGCCCGATTCATCCTTTAAAATTCATTTCCCTGGTAAAAGTCAGCTTCCTGCTCCTCCAAGAAAACAGCCCAGGATTCTGCGGGCAAATACCCCTGGAATGACAATCCGGGAAATACTACCTTGAATCACAACCACCAGCCTTTTGTTTTTGTGGCGCATGTGGATTCCAATCCCCAGCACACAAAACAACTTTAGATCGGAGAGAGAAGAATGTGCTTGTAAATCGCCTTCTCTATTTTATTGTTCACATTTGGTATTGTTTTGAGTGAAACTGGAAAAATTGTCTCCTTTCTCTGTATTGCCAAAAGGCATTCAGGTAATGAAGTCTGTAACTAAACGGTAATTGAATCAGCATAATTTGCACACTGAACGGTTTTCAAATGCTCCCAGTTTACAATTAAAGGAGAATTAATGCGCTTGTTGTTGAGAACGCGGCGCATTAGAATAAATCCAGCACTGTTGCTGTAATGAGTGGGAAACGGTTTAACTGCCAACAAACACATTTAAAATTTAACACAATGTATTGATTTCACTTCTGCTTTTGATATATTATTTTCCAGAATATCGAAATACTCGCTCCGAGCAATATACTGAGCCACAGGCGCCAGCCCTTTTCGTGTGTGTGCATGAAAGCACAGTCCAAGGGTAAAGACAGTCCTGAGGTTCAGGTCATACGTAGAGTTATGCAGAGGAGAGGGGCAGGAGGGGTTCGGTGACCGAGGGAATGCTTCACATTTCCCCTCTGTAGCTTTCACTTTGCAGTCCCTTCCCTTCCTTTCAATAAATAGTTTCTGTATTTGCTCTGACCAAACTTTCTGCCTTCCCTCTCTGGGCTCTCCATGTCAGCGGGTTTACCGGACACAGGTCGGGGCAAGAACGATTGAAAAGGGGAAGTGGGAAGGACACTTTTTGCATTTCGTCTGCGTTGCAGCCAGGGAAGGCACAGACTTTCGCGACAGCCAGAAAGGCTGTTCTCTTGGATTGGCCGCCCAGGCTTTCACCTGTTTACCCCAAGGTGTCCTGTAGGCGAGGACACTGACGCGCAGCGCCCTCTGGCGTCCGCGGCTGCCACCGTCAGGAGAAAAAAGTGCAAAGACAGGCAACATTGAGGGTTTTTGGATTGAAGCTGACTACCCCTTAAATATACACACACCCTCACGTACGTATTCAGACACGTATACTGACACACTCATTTACACAGAGTTCACACAACTAGCAGCCCTACTGTCACGTGCATTAGGGTAATGATGGCAACTCTTTGGCTCCCAGATTTGAAACTCGTGGGATTAAGGAAGAGCATCCCCCATCCCATGTATCCAGCCCATCAGAGATCCCAGACCGCCCAGCGATCCTTACCCCTATTAGAACACACTGAGCCCTCAGTAAGCTCTGGAGGCACACAGATGAGGAAAGGGGGGTCAGCGGACTCAGCACAACTTCACCAGCAGGGTGAGTGCGCCTGGCCCTCAGAGACCTTGCCCTCTGCGTCTCTGTTCTGCGCGCTGCCCACAGCTACCAACCCACTACCGCCACAATAAAGCGCTTCTTGCCATTCCCCCACTCGCCCACGTACAACAGTGTGCAAAGTCCGGACCCCCCCAAAATGCCTCTAGGAAGACTGGGACAGCGGCTTTGCTAGAATTCTCTCCCTGATTTCCCTAATAAGGATCTGGGCACGGGATGTGCGGTCTGGTTTGGTTATTTGGTGAAAAGGAGAGATTGGAAAAGAAGTGCTCCATGTTTGCCAGAGCATCTCTGACCTAAGTATCTGATCACTTGTGATGTCCCTAACTGATCAGCTTGCCCTGTCTCAACCCTACAAGTCCAACAAAGTTACCTGCACTTCTCATGTGCACATCTCCAACTAGAGGGGGGCGGCTATGAGGGCAGATTCACTTTCAGAGCCACAGAGCAGATCCATGCTCCCCACTCTCCACTTTATTTCCTTTCCTTTAAACTCTGTGGATACATCCATGAGAGTCCCTGTCTTCCATCCCCTCTTTGCCTCCTTCTGTCACAGAGCATCCCGTCTCATTATCTCCTGGGTCTCAGGGTGTCTAGTGTGCCCTAGGCGCAGTTCAGAATCCCACACAGGAGAGGGGACTGGAGCAGGACATGGGGATGGGGTTCCCGGTAAATCCCGCAGGGACACAGAGACCAGCTTGCCAAAGTTCCCACACAGTCACCAGGAATGCTGCTCTCGCTGAACGGGCGGTCTCACCCTCGTCCCGCGCGCCCCCAATTGCCCGGCCTCGAGGCCAGGGTGGGATTGCGGGGGCGCAGGAGCGGCAAGGACTTACCAAGTAGACGGTGGGCTGCAGGAGGAGAAGCACGTACCAGCACGCAGCCTGCATCCTCCCGCGTCTCAAACTTCCTCCACGTTGCCTTCGCTGAGTCTTTGTTCCTTCAAAAACATAGATCCACCTGACATCCACTTCACAGAGCAAGGAGCGCTCTCAGCAGCCTAGATACAAATGAAATTAGACAGCCCATGACCACGCGGGCAAGGTTAAGCTTGGCGACCGAGCGGGGAAAGGGGGTTGTGGCGGGGAGGAGTGAACCGAGAAACCCGGGGGGCGGGGGCAGGAAAAATCGAAAAGCGAGTCAGTCCAGCGCCTGGAAGCGTCGAGCGCTAGGTCCGCAGGCCGGCGGGCAGGAGGTCCGGGAGCTGAGGGGCTCCTGGAGCCCGGCGCTCCTGGGGTGCGCGTTCCGGGCGGGCGGTGGAGGGGAAGGTGGCAGGGCGCAGAGCCGAGCACAGGCTGGTTCGGAGCCGAGCGGCTCTGGCAGCAAGATCTGCCCTCGTCTTTGATGGTGGGGCGGCTGGGACTAAACGCGGCGGCTGGTTCTTTGCCAGCCCTGGCAGAGCTCACACACGTACACACCCGTGGAGAGAGATGGAGAGAAAGGAAGAGGGAGAGCAAGGGAGAGACACTGACCTGAAGGAGAGGGGCGCGGAAAAAGAAAGGGTGGGCAGAGCTGACCAGGATTAGGTGCTGGGTATCTCCAGGCATTCCGTGGGGTGGGGGGTGGGGAAAGGGGGTGTCAAATGTGCAAACAGGAAAGCCAGGCTCAGTTTACCCATTCAAGCTCCCTGCACCGACAGAAATACACACACACACACACACACACACACACACCCCTCTAGCACTACTTTTATTCCAGCCAAGAGGCACAGTCAGTGCTAACTTCTAGAGTGCACGTCTGTGGGGTTTATGAGGGTCACCCACTTAGCGCACTCGGTCCCCCAGACAAGTGACCCTTCCCGCCGCCCCTTCCCAGTGCTCCACCCCACCCCAACCCTAAGGTACCTACCGCACAGGACTGGGGGCTAATCCGGTGAGCAGGGGCCGCTCTGGGCAGGCTCCATGGAGGAACTACTCGGGCCTGGCGTCT